TAATGAGTGAAACATAAAAGAAAGAAAGAAGAAGAGAGCAAGGGAAAAGAGGAAGAAGAAGAAAGGGAGAGCACAACATCGAGGTAAGCTTTATAATTATTTAAATTAGTTTATTATTTTAAATTATTAGTTTGTTAGTTTATGGTTTAAGGGTTTACAACATTTTAGTTAATTAGCTAGTTAGTTTAAGGTAAAACAAAATTTTAATTAATTAGTTTGCTTAATGGTTATATTATTGTTAGTTTAAGTTATATCATACATAAATAAAAAATTATTTAATTAGTTTGTTTTATGGTTATATATTAAAAAAATAATTAATTAGTGTGTTAGTTAGTCTAATCTCCAATCTCTTGTCAAAATTTGGTCGACGTAGTTCGTATCCTGTTCCATAATATATTGTGTTAAACCGCAATTAAAAAAACCACGTAAAACATGCACAAATATTGTAAATAAAACTTACCTATGCTGACTATCTCGCTACGAATATGTGTGTTATGAAACTGGTCGATACTATTCTTGCCAATATGACGAATACAAAATGTCGGATATGCATACGGAGGTATCCAACAACTTCCTGGTCGTTCAATTGCCGCCAAAATACCCGTTCCTCTATCGGATATCAAGCAAAATCCATCTTCACGAACGACATATTGACGTAGATTGGTCAGAAAGAAATCCCAAGCCTCTGTTGTCTCTCCCTCAACAATGACGAATGCAATTGGGAAGATATTTCACTCACCATCTTGAGCAACTGCCATCAAAAGTACATGCCTATATTGACCATACAACCACGTACCATCTACTTGGATCATACGTTTGCAAAATGGAAATCCTTCAATACATGCCTTCAATGCCCAAAATAGTCTATGAAATATTTTCTTCCCTGGAAGAAGTTGACCTTCTTCGTCATATGCGGGCATGGTTTGAGACTTCACTATGGTTCCTGGGATAAATCACTTCATTACTTGTAGCAAATGTATTAGCTCATTGTACGATGTATCCCAATCTCCATACGTCATCTTCATTGCCTTCATCTTCGCATTCCACACCTTGCCATATTTTACTTGATATCCAAATTGGCTTCGAATAGATGCAGCTAACACTGAACAAGATATCCTTGGATCCTTTTCGACCATCGCCTTCATGTATTCACATATTACATCGGAGTCCAATAGTCGGTGGTCTTGTTCGATGGAGTTTCGCAAACATGTGTACGGACCATTGTACCTCATGATGACCCAAACATCGTGCCTTTGATTTTTCGACACTCTAATCTTCCACTTGCACTCTGGGCCATATTTTACACACTTCGCGTATAGGGTTTTCTGGTTGGACTTTGCAACATGGACATCAACATGGCATTTGATGCAGTACTCTTTAATCGCCAGCGTAGCTTCATTTTTTCCTTTGAATTACACCCCAACTGAAAATTCACCAGAATTATCGAATGATTCAGTCATTTGGTACAGAGGTAAATGTGGCATGTCTGGGAATTCAGGTTCCCTCATCGCATCATAGTCTATCTCGTACATGTGAGGAGTAGCTTCATACGGTGCCGAAACTTCATCAATTGCACCTCCACCAAAAATATTTTCGACGCCGCCCAAAACGGGTTATTCGGTTTCTTCATCTTTGCTTGAATCATCATGAATTTCTCCCCATCGATTTTCAGCGTCAATATCAACAACCAATTCCGGTATGTTTCTCATCTCATACTCTGCTGTTGCAGATGTCCCCTCGACTTCATTTACACTTTCCAATAGTGCCATAAAACTGTTCGGGAACCTGTATATCGGCTCCTCAAACTGACTATATAAATCCATTTCAGATGGATTTTGAGCCACACCTCTTGATGACCCAGGAACATCACATATGTTACGCACATCAACAAATAACTCAATAACTGCTATATTGGTTGACTCATGTAATCCAACCATGATTCCAATATCATCATCTTCTTCAAGTGGAATTGCATCATATCTGACTAGGTTGGGGCATATCATAAACCTATACCTCAAACCATCAATTGCAGCTCGAATTTTTCTTTCTATCTTATGCTTCATTTCTATAAATGTAATGTCTTTTTTGAACATCATATTTATTGGCTTTTCAGACTGAAAACTACTCCGACCTCATTTTCCATAATCTGTCTATTATAATGGACAATCGTGAAAAAGTTGTTGCTCATTTTCTCTACAAATAAAAAAATAAATTAATTTTGATTAAAAAATTATATAAGATAATTTCATAAAACATTAAATCATTAAATATAATATAATATACTATTATATTAATGATCAAATAAAATTTGTTATTTAACTCGATTGATTGATTACTAATATTACTAATAATGATTTAATAATTATTATTAATCTAATGATTTAATAATAATATGATTTAGTCATGATTACTAATAATTATTTATTATAAATATTTAATGATTTAGATTTGATATTAATCATTTAGTAATTATTACTAATAATCATATTAGTTTGATAATATTTTTTTATTTTTTAAAAATATCAAACAAATTTGTTAGGCAAAATATCGTGACAATGCGTTGGCCAGATTATCTCATTCAATTAATTTTTACTCCTTATTAATTTACACATACAATATAAATTAAACAAAATATTTTTTTAAAACAACATTAAATATTTTTAAACACAATATTTTTTTAAACGGAAATTATCTTGCACAAATTAGTTTATATAATCTAATATAAACTAACTAATTTACACAAACACAACAACAAAAAATGGACAACAAAAAATAATAAATTACTCATGTATTTATGCTTTCTTCATTTCCTTTCTTTTCCTTCTTTGTTTCTTTCTTCGAATCAATCTGTACGTGGGCAAATATTGTGGAATAATGCCCTGTATGTGTAAACCGTTTAATTTATTTAAACAACAATAGCTCCAACAAATTAATTTTATATAATCTAATATATTATAATATAACTTAAACTAATAAACTATTTCTTTATTATAATATAACTTAGTTAAAATAACAAACTAATTAAGAACTAATTATTATTTTTATAATATAACTTCAACTTCAAAGAACAACCTAATATACGTTTAAAGACACTAACAAATTAATTAGTATTTTTTTATATTTAATAAACTAATTAACTATTTTTTATATAATATAATATATAATTTAAACTAACAAACTAATATAATATAACTTAAACTAACACACTAATAATTTATACTAACAAACTAATTAACTAGATTTTAGTTTTACCCTAAACCCTAAACTAACAAACTAATAATTTCATATAATAAACTAAATTAAACAATAAAAAATTACCTCACGAACTATGTTTGATCCTTTATATTCTTTTCTTCTTCTTCCTTTTCTTTCTCTCGGTAAAGTTTATATGTGCTTATGCTTATGCTCCTGGTTCTGCTTCTTCTGCTTCTACCCTAAACCTCATATCCTTTATATAAAGCAAAAAAGCGTTGGACAGAGTCATTAAATTTGATTGTTGAAGAAAATAATATTAGCATTGAATCGTATAACTATTGAGCATTGAAAGGCTGCAATTGAACAACAATATTTGCTGCATTTAGCAGCTAAATTAACGCTGCAATAATGCAGCTATGGATGCAACGCATGCAGCTACAGATGTAGGAATCTCCCAACTATGGATGCAACGCATGCATGAGGGATAGGGTTAAAGCTTGGTCGTGGTACAGGTGCAGGAATCTCCCACAGCTTGGTCGCCGGGACTCCATGGCGACCTACACCCCATGTGCATGGCCCATGCACAGCTCCCGCTCCCACATGCCCATATAGAGGTCTCCCACATGCATCGCTCCTTGGTCACCGCGAGTGCATGTCGACCTCCTTGGTCGCCCGGAGTGCATGACGACCTCCTTGGTCACTGTAGAATTAACCCTATCTCAGCAAATAATATGTCCAAAGCATTATCTCGTGAATTTTTTTTTTCGAGAACATTATCTCGTGGAATCAGCCCAAATTTAATGGGACAAAGTAAGTAATATTTTTTTTACTTTTCTTTTTATAAATTTGATATTTTTATCCTTTTGTTTTATGACTTTTTTGTATATAAAGTGAATAATGTGTGTTTATATTATTGTATTTTAATGGAATAAATTAATCAGGAATATATAAAGTTAAGGTAAATATGCAAGAAGTCGTTTTCAATTTGGTTTTCTTCTACTTTGTTCACTCAACTTTCAAAAGATATGTTATGGTCACTTACAATATCAATTCATCTCAAAATAGTTACTCAAATGTTTAAGGGGTTGTTTGTTTACTTCTGGCTTTGTATGAATCAGTCAGCACTGAATCATTCAGAGTTGCGAAACAAACGCTTTGAATACTGAACGATTCAACATTCAACGCTGAATGATTCCATTCAGAGCCAAACAAACAGCCCCTAACTTTTGTTATGTTGAAGATGTGGCATGTAAACAAAAATAATAATTTACAAATTAACCATTGAATTTTAGTTAGAATATCAACATAAAAATTTAATCCTTAAATTCTATATAGTGTGCTAAATTGATCTCAATTTTAAAAATCCAAATAAATTATAAATTCATGTTTACTCTATTGAGTAAAATTAAGATATTTTTTCTTGAGTAAAAATTTGATTATATGTTTTGTGAATATTATTTTTTACATTATATATATATATATATATATATATATCTTATATCAATCTTGAATTTTTTATTTTTGTTTAATTTAATATAAAGTTAAATAATATATGTATTGTATTACGTATAGCTTCTAATTACGTTTTATTATATTTAATAGTTTATTCTTTAAAGACTTAAATATTATAATTTAATTAATTAATTTTTTCGCATATTTTATAATTATATTCATGTAAATAACATTTTTAATTAATTATACGCATAATTAGTCTGTGCAATGCATGAAAATACAAACAAATTCATACTTAAAAAAAATTACCATCATCGTACTACTTTGATTGGTTGATTTATTATTTCAGAGTATCAAATTAAAGGGAAAAAAGAAAAACAATCTCCATGGAAACAAAAACCAAAACTTGAACTAAGCAATCTTTTTTACAAGCAACGAAGGCGGAGACGTCGTCGTATCGAACCATGTCATACGACTATCTTTTCAAGTACATTATCATCGGCGACACTGGTTCGTCTCAGCCTAAATCTCCCCATTTGGGTTTCATTGTTAAAAAAATTATGGGGTTTGATTGGTTTGTTGTGCAGGCGTGGGAAAATCATGTTTGCTCTTGCAGTTTACGGACCAGAGATTCCAACCCGTTTATGATCTAACCATCGGTGTTGAATTCGGTGCTCGGTTGGTCTCCATTGATGACAGACCCATCAAGCTTCAAATCTGGGATACCGTACGATATATTTTTTTGTTCTTTTTGGTGAAAATGAGTATTAAAAACTTTTACCATTTTCAGGTATTGGGTATGAAATAATTAATCACTTAAAAATTCTGTTAGAATATTCTATTCATGTGTTTTCTTTGGCTGTTTTGGGAAAAGGGTGTTTAAAATTAATGTTGTTCTTGGCTGTTTGGAATAGGTGAACTTAGTTTTAGGATTCAAAGAAGACAGTGACGAAAAATATAGGTTTATTTTGGAGTAGAATTTCGTTTTTATTTTCTGTGGGTATTGAGTTTGTTTATGGTTTGAGGTATTTTACTCATATTCGAATACGAGTACATATTTGATTAATTTTCCTAAATTCATTTATTTCGAAGATAGTTAAAAGATCACATCTCATTCCTATACCCAGGTACAAGAGACATCGGTATTTGGTCATTTGTTTCCAGTAACTCCGTTGGAAGGAGAATCATTTATTCATTTGGTAGTTGCTTCGTACTCGAGAAATGTCGAACCAAATGAAATGTAGCTTATTATTAATGAATTCAACGGCTTCTTTTATCTTTGATCGGAAGGTTTTTGTTGGTTGTGTTTGATTGATCATTTTCTCTTCCATTATTCGATGGTTAGATGAATAGTTTAGCATAGAGCTTCTCTTTTGCTTATAAATAAACATATATGTATTATATATATTTCAGGCTGGACAAGAATCCTTCAGATCCATCACCAGATCTTACTACAGAGGAGCGGCAGGAGCCCTTCTGGTCTATGATATAACCAGGTGAGAAACCAAATTGTCTTCCTCTGCTTAAGTAATGGGGTTTGAAGCTATATTGCTTCCACTTGGGTGTAAGAATTAGAAATGATTATGTCTGATATTGGTACGTTCAATGTTTTTCGTATCGTCGCATCCATGTTTGAATATACATCAGACACTAGTACTTAGAAAAATGAAGTTTTGAACATCATAATAGTAAAGAATCGAAGGTTCCAACAGCTACTGTTGTCCTTGTTTTCCTGGTGAAACATAGTTGGTTAACTTTTGAAACTGAACTGCAAAGTTTATAATGTTGGATCAGGAGAGAAACGTTTAATCATCTGATGAGCTGGTTGGCCGATGCTCGACAGCATGGGAATCCGGACATGGTGGTCATGGTGGTCGGAAACAAGTGTGATCTTGCTCAACGGAGAGCAGTTAGCAAAGAAGATGGAGAGAAGTTTGCAAAGGATAATGGGCTTTTATTCTTGGAAACATCTGCAAGGACTTCTCAAAATGCCGAGGAGGTAATTGTTACCCCCTGAGTAGCCCATCATATGTATGTTGTTTCAGCATTTTTATTTTTCTTTCAAGTATTCACGTTCAACATCTATATCTTACATGAATACGAGGATATAACCTCCTAAAGATTCTCCTAATACATAAGATTTGAAAAAGTTGCACTTACTCCCATCACTCCTACCCAAGTAATATAACGCTGTATTGCTTTATATTTCCGTTTAATGAATGTTTAAATTAAAAGTTTGTGTTATCTTTTGTAGGCCTTCATCATGACTGCTGCTCAAATACTTAATAACATTAAAGAAGGGATCTTTGACGTGTTTGATGAGGTAATGATCAAAACCGCTTTAATTTTAAGGATGTCAAGAAGGGATAAGATTCACTCACACTTTGTCACTTTTTAGTTTTACATTTTTTAGAATTATTGGATGAATGAATATAGACAAATGAGATTAATAGTAGAAAATGATAAGATATTCACTTAAAAAAATAAAGAGATAATATAAGTCGTCTATTTCCACTAGTACAATAATCTTGAAAAGATATAAAACAGAAAGTCTTACACTAGGTGTAAGTGAATCCTTTGTCAAGAATTGTGTTTACCCGATCATTCATGTCCAATCTATATCCAGACATGGAGTATAGGTATAAAAATATAATCGTCCAAAAACTCCCTAAATATATGAAAGACATAAATTGTAGGTACAAGAATATAATATTTCCAAAAACTTTCTAGATACATGAAAATCTTAAAAGAAAACCTTTTCACTAACCCATAGATGGTTTCAGCTTCATTATTTTCCTTTCATAAGAACTCTGAAGTATATCTCACTTGAAAGACCGATTCATGGAACTGAATGCAGTCATCCGGCATCAAGATCGGCCAAGGTCGTGGACAAGGTATAACGGGTGCAAGAGATCGAACCCGCGGTCAGAGAGGTGTCTGTTGCAGTCAGTAGGCAAAACAATACATGCCCGTATTTGACCCTTCAATCCAATTCATTTCTCACCACATTGCTTTGATTCATATATTCTTGAAGGTGGTTCCATTAGCAAGAACATGGAACGTATAGAACTAGTTCTCTTTTTTCTTTGTATTTAACTCAGAAATCGTATGCTTGTCTTGTTTTAATTTGATTCAAGTCATTTGCATAGTAATATACATATTTCCAGTTTTTTCACACATACCACCACTTCAGTGGTAAACTAATTGATGCTAGAAACAGAACAGAAATCCGGCAAGATGAGTCCTCGTCCAAAATTGTTTCATATTCAGATAAATCATAACAAAAATATAAGGAAACTGCTGTTCTACATTGATGTGAGTCCGGATTAAAACTTTAACAAATTCAAATGTTCGATGGAATCTCTCTAATGCCTCCTGAGGAGAACATTACAATAATTGAACAGTAAACAGAGAAGTACCTACATAGTTGCAATTAAATCTTTGAAACCAGAATGCAACTCTTCAGACATTGTGTCCCAACCTAGCACTTTGAGCCCTTGATTACTAAGAACCAGCAAATATCTGCAATGAATATAGGAAGAAAGCTTAAGGAAACAAACTACAAAAGTAAACAAACACAGTTGTTGCTTACTTGGTCATTAAATAACACTTACCCCAGCAAGAACATCTTTGGAGAGTCGCGGTTTTCCATGAGATGAATCAACTGCAACTGGCTTTTTCTGTCGGAATTGACGAATTTCCTTCTTGTGGGTAACGGGCAGCTCAGAATTCATTCCAGACCCCTCTTGCACCTTCTGCTTCTGTAGGAAATCAGAAACAGGAGGAATTCAACACACATGCAAAGTTACATATTTGGATTTGTTCAAGGCAATTACAGATTAAAGTACGCGCAAAGTTATATCACCTAGAGTAGAATATGAATTGGAGTGATATGTGCAAGAATAAAAACTAAGAAACATCATGTAGAATTGCAGATGTATAGAATGCACAACTATCATTGATTGCAAGCAATAAGTTGCATTAAAAATGTAGTACTTTACCTTCTTCATTCGCTCTTCAATCGCACTTAAGGCACGGGATTGGTCAACTTTAGAGAGAGAGAAATCACGCTCCCTCTTGGCAGCAGAGAGTTCTAAGGCTGGCTTCTGCTCCCGAATTGCGCTCTTGTAAGCTATATGAGAAAAGATATCAACTTAGACATACCACACGTTCATACATGTGTGTATATATAGCACTAAAATTATTGCAAAACAGAGAAACATAAACTGATAAGTTACCAATTTCTTCGGTAAGATCGTCCCACTTGAATTTACTCAAGTATTTGATATTCCAAAGATCGTAATAAAAAGACGACCTCTTCCTCCCACCTGATCATGGTTAAAAAAGATCAAAAACATAAGAACACACCATATCATCACAAGATACTAACATCTATGTTACTATAATACGAGATATATAAATTTGTTGTCCTTTATATACCAAATTGCTTCTTTGGCTTAGTGGTTTGGCTGCTGTTATTCCACCTAATGGTCTTGGGTTCGATTTCCCTTATCCATGTGTCACCCTCTGATTGGAGGAAAATAAATATATTAAATTAAAAATAAATTAAAATAAACTTATTCTTTCAATTAGAGACTGACACGATAAAAATGGGTATTAATTAACCTTTTACTTACGAATACAATTCTCTTATCCCCCATTTAATACCCATATACATGTCCATCACTCATATTATAAGACGTGTAATACAATTAGCCAATAACTTAACGAGGATTGTCATCTTTTTTATTTATTTTTCATTTAATGTTTCTTTTTATCGTGTAAAATACAATTTTCAATATATTTTATCAAATTGTACTAAATTTATTTTACTTGATTTATTTATTATTCTCTAAATTATATTCTTTATCTATAAATAAATTTGATTTTTTTATAAAATCTTAAATAATTTATTATACTTCTGTTGGATTAATTTTATTTTGATTTGAAATTTAAAATTTTTGAAATTTATTAAAAATAGTTTTGGATTATTTTTTTATATTACGTAATACAATTTTAAGTTTTATAAATATTTTTCAAATAATTAATTTTCAATTAAATAAAAAATAATTAATGATTTTCATATATTATGTTAAGTTTATTTTTATTGCTTTAAATAAAAATACTTTTTATTTTATCAAAATAAAATAATTATAAAATAAATAAAAATATAATTTGATTCAATTTGATGTGATACTTTTAGTTATAATAATTATAAAATTTATAGTGTAACACCTTAATTCGACCCGATCCGAAGTTCGGAGTATTCGGATGTCACACGAAACCACCAAAGTGGCTAACCATTTTTTCATTTAAAACACCATATATTTATGAAAAGAAGAATAGCCATAAAATACTTTTATAAATCGGAGCTCTACGACACATCGTTTAAATCAAAATAATAAAATCTCAGAGTTTACAAATCCGAATACAACAATAAGGGTCTTATGAATACACATGTCCACTACAAGTAACCAAAAAGTGCTATGTGGGGAATGTTGGAAATCCTGCTGTGACAGTGCTACTTGAACGACTTATTATACTTACACATGGAAACACATTCCGAACGCTGAACTCACAAGCTCAGTGCCACACAAATAACACAACTATACTACATGTATCCAACAAATGAGCATGTTACAGGTATAGTTATGAACATAAGAGTACATTTAACCCACAACAACAAAAGCAAGCATCATGGTGTAGTTCATGGTCACAATAGCATCACGTAACTCGCACCCCTATTTTCTCACTAAAGGGACCTTAAGAGAGATCTGGGTTACATAGCATCAGTATCTCACAAGTACCTTAGGTTAGGTATGGGTTACATAGCGTCAACACCTTGCCAGGGTAGTCTACTCCTCTAGGGTACTCGAAACATGTCTAGGTCACATAGCGTTCAACTAGCGATATAAATGCCTATGCACTAGATTGAATATATTTGGATAATCCCTTACTCTACTAGACAATCAACATATGATTGGAGTGTCTTCGTTGTTTCCCGAGTATCAAACAATGCATAAGTCTTATGGAATCTTACCTCAATAAGATCTTATATTATCAAACAATTGTTAATGTTCTCACTTGCAAGCTTTTATTAGTGTTCCCCTTTTATTCTAACCATTACCCGAATCCTTTGACAATATGAGGTTTACAATCATTATCATATCAGTACCGATACTTTGATGTAGTATCGATACTTGCCTCATTGTGGTATCGATACTATTCTAAGTATCAGTAAAATTTGGGTATACTGGAATTTACAAAGTTTCCCTAGTATCGATATTGAATCCTGAGTATCAATACCCAATGAATAATATTGATACCTCAAGAACCAGGTATGTATACAAAACCTTTTGATTTCCAACCTAGTAAACAAATAGTATTGATACTATTCATACAGTACCAATACCCCAAACTCATATTGATTTGCTTCACACGAGTATAACACTCCAAATCTCTCTTTAGACGCTCATAAGGTCCCTAAACATAATTTAAAGTTTATGTATATTCAAAATATCATAAAAGTTCTTTGTTTTATGCATGAATAACATCAACCACCCATTTTCATGTTATAACCCAATATACCCCAAATGCTTTATACACATATACGAGAAACAACACTACACATGCTGATCTACAAGCGGTATAAAGATGTTAGAAGTGTGTTACCTTACTACTAGATGTTGGAGAATCAACTTCAAGCTCAATCAAACACCACATTCTCTTTTCCCTTGACCTTAGAGCTTTCTCTCACGTAGCAAAATTGATCAAGAGATATGATTCTAACAAGCTTTCACATTTTCTTAAATCACGATGGAAGAAGAGAGAGTTTTGTTTTTGGAAAAGAGAAGATGACAAGAAATGTGAAGAAAATAAGGGGATACTCACTTTTTCCTAATTTCTTACCCGCATACATCATCATCCATGAATGAAAGACTAACATTTTTCTAATTTCTTTCCCACATACATCATCATCCATAAATGAAAGACTAACATTTTCCTAATTTCTTTCTCGCATACATCATCATCCATCAATGAAAGACTCATCTTTTCCTAATTTCTTGCCTGCATACATATCATCCATAAATGAAATACACACACTTCCCAATTTCTTGTCCGCATACATCATCATCCATAAATGAAAGACTTACCTTTTACTAATTTCTTATCCGTATACATCATCATCCATAAATTAAAGACACATTTACTAATTTTTTGTTCGCATACATCATCATCCATAAATGAAAGACTCATATTTTCCTAATTTCTTGCACGTATACATCATCATCCATAAATGAAAGACTCGCATTTTCCTAATTTATTTCATGTATACATCATCATCCATAGTTTTAAGACTCGCATTTTAAAACATCTTAGGGGATAATTATAGATTTAGTCCTTATCATTTAACCCCAATTAAAAAATACCATTTTTATAACATTTTGGGCCCGACTCCAACCCGATTAAAGTCTCACTTAGCCCAATAACTTTAATTATGAACTCCACGAGGTCCACAAACCTCTCAGATAAACTCAAAACTACTAACTTATGATTTGGGGTGTTACAATTCTCCCCTCCTGAAAATGAATTTCTTCCTCAAAATTTACTTAGATTTAATAATGACCTACTCTTAGATCAAACACTTAGAAGACTCGAAGCACCTAAACTCTTATCAAGTATGATCCATAAGGAATAAATCTCCACAACATGACATGCCACTTAGGAACTCACCAAAACCGATCTATGATTTTTCAAATGATGTTACCTATGTCGAAATTAAAGAAAAAACACTCGAGAAGCATTTAGCCAAAAAATCTCATTCTTGTTGTCTAACACTAAAAGCTCATAATGTTTCATAAGGACAACGCTACTCCATATTTCAAACTGCTATTGCTAAACTCTATGCTATCTAACTCGACACAATCTAGTCATCTACGACACGACTCTATAAGTTTCTTTTACTTACCAAACACTTAGGTAACTCGCCATACTACACGTTAAGATTCTATGTACACTTGCCATAGATGATCTTCATGTTGACCACTGAAAAAATAATAACGAATCCTAACTTTCTACACATCAATCTAAACATTTTTATTGTGTAACTCTAATTTAATATTCATCCATGATACCCGATTGTTTCTCATTTTCCTTGTTTACCAATACGCTACTCACTAGATCCTACATCTGAGGTAATCAAAGTAGAAAATCAATTATTTATCTAACAAAACTAGCAATATCTAGCTCTCATAGAGAGCATACATTATAGAGCAAAGATCTCTCATGAACTCACTCAAACACTATTGAATCCATGATTCCACGTCTTGTACCCACAATCATTTACCATGATATAATATTCAATGTCAGCAACTGTAGTCAACCGACACTTAAGGTACTTGGTCTCCTTTAACCTCAAGCACTAAAATCCATTGTGCCACTCAACATCGCATAACATTAGGTGTTGTATATAGATCATGCTCTTATACCAACACGAAGACATAAAGGACTAAGTTTGATTCGCAAAATGTTGAATTAAGATTTTGATATAACAAATTGTAAATTGATTTTGGACTTAATTGAATTTATTAAAAAGATTTTAGACTTAATCGAATTTATCAAAATTTATCAAAAATAATTCAAAGCCCAAACTAACTTGAAAAATATGTTTTGAATGTTTTCCAACTTAGTCGAACCTTTTCAAAAATATACTCAATTATTTTCGCGTTTTAAAGTTGAGTTTCTAAGGATTTTTTACTCAAAGAATCGATCCTTTAGTAAAAGGATCAATCCCTTGGATGGAAGAATATTTTAGATCAATCACGTATAGAAAAAGATCAATCCCTTCACCAAATGAATCGATTTCTCGATGAAAATGATCGATCCCTTTCTTGTAACGATCAAATTATTTGAAAAAATATCGATCTCTTTAACCAAATGATCAATCCCTTGTGCATTAAATGTTGATTTTGATTGTAGGTAACGGTTATAATGATCCTTAACAGCTCGAAATCGATAGAATTAATAGAAAAAGGTATAAATTAAAGGTCAAAGCTTCCCAAGGTTAACAAGAAACATAGGGAACTAATCTACCAACATCAAAGTTTTGTTTTGTGCTTAATTTGTCAAATTCTTTCTTGTAAACACACATGTGAGCTTCATTATTTATTTTGCTCGAGTGTGATTTTGGTGAGAACTTAATTAGTGCAAACACATTTTCCTTGTGAGGTTTTCTCTTTGTTTTCTTCATTTGTAATTCCCCTTGTAGAAAGAGTTTAAACAAGGTTTTGGGGTATAAACTTTGTGGGTTGTTGTAAGGTTACACCTTGTCTTTAAAGGTAAGTAGATATAGTGGATTTGAGTAATCCTTAGTGTAGATGCTAATGTAGTGGATGTAGAGTTTGGTTGAGAAAGTCTAACTACTCTAAATTGGTGTGTAAAATTTTTATCTTTCAATTGCTTCCACCAAAATTCATAAAAGGCCAATTCACCCTATCTTGGTATCATTCGATTGATTGATAAAGCTAACAATTGGTACAGAGCGAATCTCTATCGATGGTTTAACCATCTTGAGAATGTCCTAGGAGAGCTCTATCAATTTCCTTCATCAACCGAGAAAGATGGCTTCAACTTTCGGCTCTTATTATGTTGAAGATTCTCAACCGGTCAACAAACCACCTTATT